GCAAGGAGGAGGACGAGGGTCAGCAGGGGAAAATCCTCAGGGGCCTGGCCCTGCCTCTTCTTAGGAATGTGCTTTTAGAACCCTCCTCACCCTTTTGGAGGCTCACGTGTAAGATGAGGAGAATGATCCCTGCCTTGCAAGGCTGTGAGGCTTAGGAACAAAATTCGTGAGGAGAGGGAACACACCCGCTTTGCTTACCACCGCCTCCTCCGTGCCCAGCCGCTGGTTCAGAGTCGATGGTCAATACATGCCTCTTGGATGAGTAGGTTGATGGAGAGAACGTTGGGTCTCTGTCACAGGCACTGGCACCGATGTGTGCCCAATAAATGCCAGGCTGACTGTGTCTGTGGCGCTGACTGTGTCTGTGGCACAGACGGGCCGAGGAGAGAGGCACCAGCCGGCGTCAGATGCTCTGGAGAGCAGGCCACACACTACAGCCACCTCTCTCCTTGTGGAATCTGTGATCCAGGAGGACATTAACACAATGTCACAACTCATCAAATCATGGCCAGTGTGAAAACCACAGCAAAGCCAGGTGCCACACACTCCCACTTAAGCACACCGGGCCACAGGCCGCTGAGACCATCTCTCCCGGGGTCTAGCCTGCGGGAGGGACTGTGGCTCACCAGGGATCTGAGCTCTGCAGAAGTTTTAGAGAGATTTTCATTGCTTTTTAAGCTTAAAACAATGAACGTTAATAAAAGAAAACATTTCCATTGGGCTTGTAAAGACTTAATAGGAGTTAAAAGTAATTAGCTAGTCTGTTTGGTTCTAATCCGATAAGTGCTTTCTTTTATTAACTTCACTGTCCTTGAAGATTGGGATTGAGGTTTGTCTGCAATTGGAAAAGGGCGCGTTTGCCCAATGATGGATGGGTGACTGGACTAAGGCAGCCGCTTGCGCTGGCAACGCCAACAAGAGCCGGGGCTCCGTGAGGCTGTGTGCGAACCCGGGCACGTTTCCCTCTCTGCCTGCAGAGCCCCGTTTTCTCCTGAGAAGTGGGGATGGTATTGCCGTGCAAGGCTGTGTGGGGAAAGCACTGGTGTACTGTGTGGCGCAAGGAGGGGCCAGTTCATGACGACCCCCTCTTCCTCTTCCCTTTACCCCGGAGACAGCCCCTCCAGTCATATTCTCTGTGTCCCACTGAGGTCAGGTGACAGTGCTGGTGCTGGTGGGCATCCTTGCCCGGACCTGAGTCAGACTGGGAGCTCCTGGAGGGCCAGGGCTGGGCTCCCTCCCCTAAGTGCCCCTCGGTGCCCACTTGCCATCAGACCCCTCTCCTCCCTGTCCTGCTCGCTGGCACTACCAGAACGACATTTCCCAGGCTCACGGGCAGCAGGCTTTGGCGAGTATCTACCAGTGGGAGCACTGATGGGAGATTGGACAGTGGAAAGAAAGGAGGAGCCAGGGTGTCACCGAGCCCTCCCTCCTCTGTGTGGAGATATTTGTTTGGCGGTGGCTGTGTCTCCTCTGATCACCGTGGTCCAGCCCTGCCTGGCCGAGGCTGGGGCCACACCACCTTCCTCCTGCATCCTCTGTGCCCTGTGGGTGGTCCTGGCAGCCTCCTGCTGGCTAAGCTCTGAGCGGCTTCTAAGCTTTTCAGTCTGTGTGAGCACTTCCCTGCCGTGAATTCCCTCCACGTGGACGGCCTCGCATGGCTGTTTCCCTGACAGGAGCCTGTGGGCGCCCCCCGTGTCTCCAGCCTCTGACCACGGAAGGAGCTCACTGCGCTCCTATGGGCTGGGTGCATTACCTCATAGAATATTCCAGAAAAGGCGGATTTTGCCCACCTTTTCCAGGCCTTCTCCGTGGTCTCCCCTCACTTTCCAGAACCGTAGCAATCTAGAAGCATGAGGAGCAACTCAAGTGAGGGCCCGCCCCAGAAAATCTACAACCAAATCTTTAAAGCTCTTAGAGATTCTGTCTGGGTCATTGCTGATTCGTTTTCTCAAGCCCCAGCTTCTAATTGGATCCATCTACATAACCAGTGTAATCAGTGAGCCAAGATTAAATACCCACCTCTGCCCTTCTCATCGGTCACAGATCACGAGTATAAAGAGCCGGTTCAAGTGGCAGGGTCGGCTCCGGGAGGCCAGCTATGTCGTCAGTGCTGGCAGCTCGGCCCAGAGGCAGGACCTAACCCCCCCCACTCCCCCCACCTCCCCCGCTGGGGACGGCAAATGAGTCACTCTCAATAGGTCCTGCCTGCAGCTGAATTAGTCTTGAAGGAGGCTCACGGGGAAGGCTGATTTAAAACAGCCTGATTACAGATGCCTGGGCAGGCATGGCATTGGTGGTCTCCTGAACGTGCCAGGGCTCTGGGACCTTCTAGGGCAGTGGTCAGCAAACTCATTCGTCAACAGAGCCAGATATCAACAGTACATTGATTGAAATTTCTTTTGAGAGCCATTTTTTTTAAACTCAAACTATATAGGTAGGTATATTGTTATTAACTTAATTAGGGTACTCCTAAGGCTTAGGAAGAGCCACACTCAAGGGGCCAAAGAGCCGCATGCGGCTCGCGAGCTACAGTTTGCCGACCACGGTTCTAGGGTAGGTCTGCAGGGCCACCCTGTTCCTGCCCAAGCCCCCTCCTTCGCGGAAGGTCTCAGAGTGTGGAGACAGACCCAGCTGTGGGGTCAGGGTGAATGTTGGACCTGGTCTGAGCCTCAGCTTCCCCATCTGTAAAATGGGCTCCTCTGTCACAGTCCTAGAAAGAGCTCCAGGACAGAAACAATGCTCCACAAAGAGCCTAACCTGGACCACCCTGCAAGGACCCAGGCTGAGCCTCTAGAGGGCCTGAAAGCCTAGTTGCTCCGCGCTGACCTGCTAGTCCTTTAAAGGAACCTGCCTGTGCTTTGGGGGAGAGGGGTTCAAACTAGAGAAAGCCCCTGGGTAAGTCCCAGCTGCTGCTGCTCTGGCTGCAATCTGTACAGCCTGGTTCTCCTGGACAGTGGCTTTCTCTGCATTTACTCACAGTGAGTGTGGGTTCTTCCTGTCTCTCCTCTTCCCTCCCCTCCCCTCCCCTCCTTTCCCCCTGCTCCGCCCTTTCCTTCTCCTACTCTTCTTTCCTTTCTCCCTCTCCCCGCCTTTCTCCTCCTCTTTTCTCTTCTCCTTCACTGTTCCCTCTCCTCCTCTCCTCACCCCCGGTGACATCATCGCTTCCTGGCCTCAAAACTGTCTGCGGAGGCCTGGCTGCTCCTTCCTCCCCAGCCCAGCCAGGGGAGGGAACCCGAAGCGGGTGCCATTTAGCCATTGGAGGGTGACGTGGGCAATGGGGAGAGGGCATGTGGCCTTTGCAATTGTTGCTCTGTTGCCTGGTGTGCTAGGCCTAACCCAGATCCCTCCGCACCCCCTTTCCCTTCCCACTGCTAAGCCATGTGGAGTATCATTCTCCTCCCTCTCCCCCAAGCTCACACCCATCATTATCGACCCACCTCCCGTGTGAACTTCATGCAACATGGTCTAGAGCAGGGCTCCTGCAAGTGCCCTTGACGGGGAATGGAACTGAGACCCTTTGGTGAGAGGGCGGGTGCTCTGACCATTGAGCAGCTCTGGCCAGGGCCTCAGTGGGTTTTAAAGGCTGACCGCTTTCACTCTGTCCCCACCAGCCTTGTCAGTGCCTGGGGGGAGCACTCCTGTCATGGTTTGGTTTTGAAATTGGCTGAAGGAACAGAAATAGGAGGCAGGCGACCTGTCCTCTCTCAGCCACAGGGAGTGCAGGCTGAAGGCAGGCCTGGCCCCACACATCGGCCCTGGCTTTGAAACAGGTACCTCGGATTGGACCGCTTCTAGGTTCAGATGCATCTTTGTTGAAAAAGAATGGTCAGCAGAATGAATACAGCCACCATCGGCCTTTCACGCTGTATGTAAACGAACCTGTTCCGTTTTTCTTCATTTGTGGAAAAATACACAGAGAAAATCCCTGTGGAAAACGGGAGTTTTAAACGACATTGTTTGTTCTCCGTAATTGAAGAAGTGCTGTGCAGGCGTAAGGCATGAGCACCGTGTTCTCAAAACACCCGTGGGCGCGAAATGCTTCAGGGTGAAGGCGACCCAGGGCTCAAGGCTGGGCTTGCTGCAGGTCTGTGCACAGCTATGGAGACACCAATTCTTACTGTGGGTGTCTAAGGAGGGGATATGCTCTCAGCACTCCTGAGGTTTATTTGACCATGAACCTTGTCACAGAATCTTGGGGGGCTAGCAGACCCTAGAGTACGTTTGTAAACCCTAGGATCAAAAATCACGAGTGAATACAACCCCCTACACGTGTGGAATACTTCACAGCTGGTCCCCAATGAGCTTTTCAGACGATTTCATTCAATAAGCTTTTCTCCAGGGACAAAGGAGAGGGTCATTTGAGATTGTGGTGGGCAAGACCGGGGGCACCAACAGGGGGACCTGGGCACCCGGAGAAGCTCCAGGGAGCTGGGGACAAAGGCCCCACCTCAGCAGCCTGTCCACTGGGTTCCTGCTCTGCCACAGGGGATGGGCTGCACCTCCTCAGGAGGCTCCTCTCTTCCCCAGAGCCCACGGGAAGATCCCCCAACCTCCCCGGGTCCCCAGCCAGCATGAGGCCCCAGCCAGGCACTTCCCTGGCTTTCTTGCCGTAGGAACATGCGTGGTTGTGGGGGAGCACAGCTTTCCGGGAGGCCCCTGTCATGGCTGCTCAGGCAAAGTACAAACTAGAAGGCATATGCATCCTAAAATAGAATCTTGGAGAAACAAATGTGCTATCTAAAGGAATGAATCTCAAATAGGCATTGTTCAAGGATTAGGAGATTATGTTGGCCAGAGAACATTTCCAGATAAAACAAACAGCCTCCACCGCCAAACAAATGAACTAACAGAAAACCAACAAACAGGCTAAACTAAAATATAAACAACAACAAAGCCACACAGAAAACCACAGGCAGGCAGTCACCTGTTCTGCTTGGGGATAAAATTGACAGTTCTACAAATACAGGGAGAGAGAGATAAAGGATTTCAAAGTATGGGAGTGAGTTTTGTTTTTTCATTTAATGCCAGGTTTCAACGAAGGGAGAATATGTTTGTCACTGGTACACATTCGTTCCGTGTAAAACCCATCCAGATGTCTTAACAGGCTCTGTCAGGAGTGGGAGGGTCCCCACGGCTTCGTCTCAAAGCCGGTGAAGAACCCTTCACTGGGAGTGTGGAGCAGGCCCCTCGTGGCCATCACTTCTTTTTGAACACTTGATGGCACACCTGGTCACCGCATGTCAGATCCTGCAACATCAGAAAGTGGGTGAGTGATGAACAAGCTGGGTCTTTCTTCTGCCCGGCCCCTGGCCTTCGTGTTGTCTGTGATAACTGGAACAAGAGGACACGTATTCTGGGCACAGTGCATCTCATGCATCCAATCAGCTGACCTGCCCTGATTTGATTTTGACCCTTGAGTTGAGCTTGAGCAACTATAAGAACAAAAAATTTGAAGAAATTACCCTCTTGGGCGGGATTTCTCCTACTTTCATGATTAAAGCAACATCACCTAATTTTTATAAAAGGCAGCAAAACCGTGAAGAAAAGAAGAATCTAGTGGGGAGAAGCATTCGGAAGGCAAGGGCCTAGGAAGATGCCTGCTGGTGACCCGTGTGGCTCAGCCCTGTGGGCTTTCTGGCCTTGGGAGATCAAAACGTTGGTTGGTCTTGGCCCAGGCAATGAAAGGGTGTGGGCTGCAGATAAGATGCTGCTTTTCATTCAGATAAAGCAGCGGTTCTCAACCTGTGGGTCGCGATCCCTTTGGCAGTTGAACGACCCTTTCACAGGGGTCACCTGAGACCATCCTGCATATCAGATATTTACATTACGATTCATAACAGTAGCAACATTACAGTTATGAAGTAGCAATGAAAATAATGTTATGGTTGGGTCACAACATGAGGAACTGTATTTAAAGGGCCAGAAGGTTGAGAACCACTGAGATAGAGGGAGCCCTCAAGCCTTATCCGTAACTCATGACCCTTTAAGGGAGGAGAGAAAAATACAGGTGTGGGGAGCACCAGGAAATCATCGCAGTTGACGATGAATCCGTTGTCTTCACCACAGGGACCGTTGGGTATTGCACTACAATTAAAACGATCCATCATCCAACCCGGAGCAGGTAGGGAAAACCTTCCATGGAAAACAGCACATGCCTCCCATTGGTCATCCATCAGCTGACATTGCCTCTGGAATAAAGATCCCAGGTGAGGCAAGGCTGGCTCTGAAGGGCACATGGTGACCTGAATACTGACACTGGGGCCAGGCACCGGCCTGACTCCACAGATAAATGAATGAATGAAGTGCCATTAGTTGAATGAGAAATTTATTTAACAAATGAGTGACTGAATGCATGAAGGAGTGAAGAATTTTTCAGTGTTTGAATGTCTGACCCATATATTGCCTTGAAGATTGAAGAATAAAAAAGTAAGCTACCTGCACAGATATAATTCAAGGAGATCAGCAATGGTACCCACTGCACTGCTTTAGTTTGGCATCCGGTGGACACAGCTTATGATGGGAGGTCCATGCCTGAGGCCTACAAGCATTCATGGGCTCAGCTGCCCTCTGTCCGTTCCACCTGCACCCCCACCTCTTCTTTTCCAAGCTCACATGGCTGCGAGGGGGCCTGGGCCCACCCTCTCTGGGGACATCTTAGTTCTGAGCCTCACATTTCTCTCCGGCTGCTGTTTACAGGTCCCCTGCATTTCTCCATGGACCTCAGCTCCCTCGCTCAGCATTCTGAGCTTTCATTTTAATGGCAGCCATCACAGAAACGGCCGTAAAGATTTCTTCCTGGAGACCCCTAAGCCAGACAGGAATGGCTTTCTGACTCTATGACCACACACATTTGGCTGGAGCTCAGGGCGGGAGTGCAGGGCCATTTTTCTTGTCAAGGTGCCTGGCTGGGTGAACAGGCAGCTCGTGTGAGCACAGAGGCAGGCAGCTGGGCAGACCCGGGACTTACCAGGTACAGCTTGTCCCCTTCGACCCACTGCCTCCAGCCACGGTTCTCCTTCTCCCCCTTCTGCACGCACACGAGGACATTGCCTTCCCAGGTGATCAGCGACTGCAATGACAAGTTCCAGCAAATCAACGGCGTGCCCTTGGCTGGGACCAGACAAACGTCAACCTGCGGCTGCAGTCCCAACGCTGTGCCCGGGCTGCCGCCCGGCCGCAGGACAGAGCCCTCAGCCTCGGTGAGACCTCCCAGGCTCATTTCCACACACACCCGCCATTCTAGCCAAACCGGTGGCTGAGGCTGGGTCTGTCCTCTTTTAAGGAATTCTACTCTTCCGTTTTATCCTATGGGCAGAGAGCATTCCAGGTCAGAAGGGGGAGATGATGAATGTGACTGTCTCACGATGTAACATTTCTGGGAGGGAAAACACCTCGGAGTCTGCAGATGAATAACAAACTGGGAAAAGTAACCGTAACACATGTCAGACGAAAGACCTGCGTCCCTTCTAGATAAGGCGCTCCCATAAACCAGTAAGAAAAAGATCATTAACCTAATAGGAAATTCAACTGAAGACACCAACCCACAGCCTACATTTGGGGTGGGGAACGTCATTTGGGCTGGCCCTGCCACGGCATTAGGAGTGAGTTAATTAAATGCTTGACCAAATAGAGCAGCTAGTTTTTAAGCTGATAACTTTGTATGGCCCTCGGATGATGTTATAAATGTCCAGATGGCCCTGGGCCAGAAAAATGGTTCCCTCCCCCCACACAAGGAAAGAAAAGCACAACCCTAGCAGATGGCTTTTAAACCCAAGAAAAGACAATCAACTTCACTCATGATAAGAGAAATGCAAATGAAGGCTTTTTGATACAATTAATCTCACAGTCAAAGATAAAAGAGTGATAGCACACTGCAGAGGGGCGGGCACCCTCTGTGGCTGATTGACTCACCCACCCCCTGTCGCCCCTTCCGGCTGAAGGGTACCAGTCAAGTCACAGGAAGGAGGTAGTGCGGAGGGCACCTGCTCCGTGCTGATTCTCTTGGGAACAGCCCTTTGCGGGAGACCCGGCACAGTCTGTCCTGGGTACTTCTCAGTCCCCACTGGAGAGAGAGGGAGGGAGGGAGGGAGGGAGGGAGAGGGAGAGAGGGAGAGAGAGAGAGAGAGAGAGAGAGAGAGAGAGAGAGAGAGAGAGAGAGGCCTTGACAGGGGATTGAAGCCACAAACTTCTGGTGTATTGGAAAAAGTAGAAAAGGGGATTCATTCATATTCTTTCTCTCTCTCTCTCTCTCTCTCTCTCTCTTTCTCTCTCTCTCTCTCTCTCCCCTTCTCCCTGCAGGGCTAAGAACTGATCCTGGGGAGAGTGGGGTCTGAGGGAAACGGAGAGGCAGAAGGAAAGTGGGTGTTAACGCAGGGAATCATTTGAGGCAGAAAGGGCTGAAAGGACGCCGTTCATTTCAGGAAGAGGGCGTTCCCCGCCATCCATGGTGATGCAAGAACTAGTCAGAGAGAACAGGTCTCTTTCTCAACCAAAACGCAAAGACTGGGGGAAATGAATCATTTTCAACTGAAATTCTGCGCCAATTTTCCTGTGAATTCCGGTGTCTGATGCACGGGCCCCCCAGCCACGCAGTTGAGAAAAGCCCTGTGCATCCCTCAGCCTCGCGGGTGGGGCTTCGCAGGGGCCGTCCCAGGCTCGGACGCTGAGGCTCTCATGCCAGGCCCGCTCTGACGGAAGCACCTCCAAAGTGCTTTTCATGTCCGACTTCCTTAGCGAGGGCACTGAATAGAATTCAGCCTCGATGTGAAGGCTGAGAGGACAGTGCCGCAGGACGGCGTGAGAAATAAAACGGGCCCGCTCTCGTGGCTTGGATGTCAGTAGCAAAGAAGGATGACAACTTTCCCTTCCAATACCAGGAAGGTGACAGAGCTCATGGTCCTTGACTTGGGGAAGCACTGAGACCTCCAACTTTTGAAAGAGCTTCTGGAAACAGGAGAGAAGGGGACTCCGGGGAGAGTGGGGTGCATGGTGAATGAGGAAGGGCAGGGTGGAGGGTCCTGGCACTGTGAGGGGCTGGCCTCTGCTGGGGGTGATAAATGGGTCCCTGGGGATAGGACACCCAGCTCACCTCCCCAGCTTGGGAGCCAGGGCAGAGGTCCCGGTGGCTGCCTTGGCACAAATAGGGTGGGTGCTATGAATATTCAAGCTGCCCACCCTCATGCAAACTACACAGGCACGGACAGTGAGCAGCCAATGGTGGTCGTACCAAATGACCAACCAGAAACCCTCTCCTGGACTGTGTGACCCCAGGGCTCCTTATATGATGCAAAGGTTGGGGTGGGAGAATCCTTCAATTCCACTGAGATTAACTTTCTCCCCATTCCTAAGTGTGGGGACTGACCAGGTGTAACTGGATATGGTGACTCTGGAGGAGAGGGGACCGGCTGTTACCCCTGCCTTCCCCACCTCCACCCACTGGCCCCTGCCGCTTGCACTCTCTGCCTTATTTACAAACCGCTCCTCTGGGGGAGGGCAGCTCCTGTGCTTGGAGATAACACGGGAACTCAGGGCTGCTTGCTTTCAGAATCCTCCCTATACCCATGCCACTCAAGCACCTGGCAGTCTGGCCTTCGGAAGCCTGGGGATTTGCTCCATTAGGCCTGGGAGTTAGGGTGATGCTGACCCAGAGCCAGAGGCTTGCCCGAGACTTCTGGAAGTTCCTGGGACGGGGGAACCCTGACTTCACTCAGTACACCGAGCATTTTGTTTGCTATGCACTTCATTCTTTTTTAAAAAATAAACCAGTGGGGCTCACCTAAAATGGAGATATTTCACATGAAAACCTAGGAATTCTCAACATCTCTTGGGGGAAAAATCTGTGAACATGAGGCATCAGTCCCTCGTGGCAATGTGTGGTGGTGCTGAGCAGGCTGCCCCCTGAGGAAGCTACCCTGCTCAGCTCACAGGGCGGGGTCCCCCCGACGACACCCCACCGGGCCCTCTTCTCCTTGCCCGCCAGCCCATGCCAGACCCTGGAGGGGCTGCACCCTCCAATCGCTCCTTTGCTCATAAGCTTAGTGCAGAAGCTAGCCTGCCCCTTCCTCCCTAAGATAATGCTGCTTAGTGCCGGCATCATTAAGTCCATTCTGGTCCCCCTTCCAGGTTGTTGCTGTCAGTTTCCCTTTGTGAAGCCAAACAGCCAGCCCCTCCAGTGTGCACATGACAACCGCCCGCCCAGCTGAGTACCTTCACAGTGCGGTTGTCCAGGCCCTTGGTGTGCTCGTCAAACTCCACTCCAACGGTGAAATCCAGGTCATAGTTGCGGAACGTGCTGTTGGTTTTCGTCTTGAAGTTATCGCCATCCTGATGAATGATCTTGGTCTGAGTCAGGCGGACTGCGATCTTGCGGGTGGCGAAATCAATATCTGTTGGCAAAGGTAGTGATGGAGGTTCTGGTGTGCTCAGCCAGACTCATTCATTTCTTTAACAAGGCCAAGCAATCAGGACCGGAGACACAGGGCAGGGCAGGCCCCATTTCTCTGCCTAAGCAGGAAACAAGAGTTGTCTTACACCCGGCCAGTTTGGGCAGCTCAGTCAATTGTTGGGGAGCCCTGGTGGCAGGGGGAGGTCGCAGACAGGGTCATGCCTGAGCTGCAACTCTCCAATATGCATTCATTATGTATTCATGTACACACACACACACACACATCCCTCCACCACAGCAGTTCCATTCTACTTATTTGACATATTGGGTTTCTTTTGAAGAGTTTGCTGAACATACAACTTCATGTTTTAAAAGAAAAAAGACTGTTTAAAACTCACCAGCCTAGATCATAGGCAAAGATGGAATTTGTTATTGTCTACCAGCAGGGAAGGGTACATATAAACTTCCATTTTTAAAGCAGATTAGGAGCTTACTTACGTAGGCTGTTCTCCCTCCCTCACCAGCTTTAAGTGTGCTCCAGATACTGTAGACCAGCGGTCACCAACCTTTAGGGCCTCACGGACCACCAGTGGTCCTAGCACCACCGGTTAGCGACCGCTGCTGTAGACACTCAGTAAACACTTGCTTTGAGATTTGCTTTATTGTTTTTAAGGAAAAGATGGCCATTTGTTTATATTTTTATTATGACAAATTTCAAACAAACAAAAGTAGAGAGGAGAGTACCAGGAACCCTACACTCATCACCCGGATTCAACTATTACCAAGATTTTGCTGCATTTATTCATCTACAGCTTTTCTTTGTCCCGATATTTTAATGGAAATCTTACTCATCTCTTAGAGACCATTAGGAAGTAAAAGGGAGCATGCCCTTCAATGGAGTGCTGCATTTCCCAAGCTCTGTACTTTACAGTAAAAAGCTAAGTGCTGCGTGCACCTCCTTGCTAACCTCTGGTTAGACATAATCCATCCTTCCAGCCAAAAGGGCGCTATCTTTGTGGAATCAACCTAGAAACGGAGGCTAAGTCTGGGGCTGCTGAATGTGTTCCTTTGCTGTGACCATCATTAAGCTCTTAGTCTCCCACCAAATCATATTTGACCCCCTTTATGCCTGTAAATTCTCCAGTAAAATGGGGGAAAGGTGGCTTACCTCACCGTTATTTAAGGTAAAAATTCACTTAAAATAATGATAAAATGCTTTACACAGGGCCAAGGAGCTGTGGTTATTTGACGCACATTGGCCTTCAAGCCGTGGCCTTTTCTGTTTCAGTTAAACCCAGTCTGGAGTGAAATGTTTGGGCCACACTTGCACATCCACCACCCGACTCTGAAGAACAGTCGGATGGCGGCTGATCGGCTCACTTGCATGGCCCTGGCCTGTCACATGGACATTGTGTCAGCTTCCTCACTCCATGGTTTGGCCAGGGGGTAAAGAGCTTTAGCTTTGGCCCTCGGTGCTGAGGCCCATGCTGGGCCACACCTTGCTGCTGGCACCACAGGTGGAGATGGAAAGACAGAACCAACCAACAACCAACCAACCAACCAACCAACCAACCAACCACAGGTCACATATTAACCAGATGAAACAAAGAAGGTGGCTCCTCCAGGCAAAACTACTCAGAAAGAACTGGGAATTACAGAGGAACTCAGAACCGAGGTGTTTGTCAGAGAACAAGCCTATTTTCACTGCCCAGATGTGGATAGCAAGGCCCAGAGACGTTAAGTGGCGGGTTCTGAGCTGCTCAGCTGGGCTGGAGCTCCCAACAGTTTGCCTACAAATACAATCTGTGTATCAGTCACAACTAAGGCTTTCCCAGCAGAAAATATTGCTTGTCCTTGGCTGCTTAGAAAGGTGGATCGCAGTTTAAAATGCCTATTGCTGGGGGGACCGGCTTGTCCTGGAAATAGCATCCCTACTCAATCTTTCTGACCGGGGCCAGCGGAATCTTGTTAGAGGCTCTATGCAAATGTGATCAAGCACCACTTCTTCTCTGGATTGAAAAATGGCATGGCCTCTTGGCTACCCTTTAGCGTTTACACAGGCCAGTTAATCACGCCACCTCTGCTCCACTCTGGGGAAGGGAGCCGTGATATTTCTAATCAAAAGGAAGGTTTACCTGCAGCTGTAGAACACACACGCGCACCCACACACAGGTTACAGAAACGCTTCCCCTTTGTACTCTGCAGAGAAAATTATTTTCCTGCTATGGTATTCTAACACCAGGGTTATCAAGTATGTTTTATCTGCTTCTCTGGATGAAAGGTAGCTCTGCGCCTGATTTACAACTGGGTGAAATGAATTTCTACCTCAGGGGAGAAGGTCCAAAGGCAAGCTAGTCCTGAATAATATATATATGGCTTGTAGCTGCTGCAGAAGAAAAAAAACAACACTGAAGTGACTTTATTAAAAGCATACTTTTCATAACTGCATTTTGAACAATGCAAGCCATAAAGGTGAAATATGAGTATGCTACTCAACATTAAAATGCTTTGTAATGTTATTGTGAAAAAGGCTAGAGTTGCAGGCTGAAAGGGCAGGCGCTCTTTGTAAATTAAAGAGCAGAGATTGCACACATATTCATCACATGAAATCTGAGACCCATTCCCAGTGCACCTGTGATGGGCTTCAAACCTGGACCCCTTCATTCTCCCATCATGAGCACTTCGAGGCAATTGTGAGCAATATGGAGCAATATGGAGGAGCAATCCTCTCCACTCTTCCATGCCATTTCCTCCTCCGTATGACACATTTAGAGAGGACTTGGCTTGGCCCCCTACCTGCCTCCTCTCACTCCTCAAGGACATTTTCAAATAGGTTTCAACCTTTCTCTGGCCAGCAGAGGCAGGCCGGAGACCTTGGGGTGCCTCCCTGCTCCCCTTGCTCTATTTTACCTCCTCACCTGTAGGCTACTACTTCCCACTGGGAAGGGGCCAAGATGGAGGAGCTGCTGGTACCAGCAAGGAAGGGCCCAAACTTGCCTTCACCTGGGTCTCTTCCACCCCCAGCACTTTCCCTGTTTGAAAGTGCAACCAGGTACCATGTGGTTTATACAAAGACTTTGGCAATGACCTCATTGACTTGT